CACAAAATTTGCAACAAATCCATCAGAATCAGCCCCTCTTCTCCACATTCGAGTGCCTACATTAATGAGCCAATTGCAGTAACCAAGAGAAAAGGTGAAGACTGATTAACTAAAAGAAACTGAAGACTTGAGTAAGAAGAAGCAAGTTGCAACATTGATTCTATATAATTTGCATTCATTTCATATACTTAATGAGAATGGATGATTCTACAGAACACACATAACAATATTTGTGACCTCGTCCATTACTTGCATTGATCATGCTTTGTCAAATTGCAAATTAAAGAGAAAAACAACAAGAAGAAAAAAGGAATACCAGTTCTCCTGTTGCATCTCCTTGCAATCAGCGTAACATCAATGATGTCTTTACCAATTGCAGATTGAAAATTGTGAAAACCTTAAGATAGGTTAAGGCGTACATCAAAAAGGAACAATAATAGCTCTCATCGAGCAGGAGTTACAGTAGATGTGCTACTTGGAAAAATCTGCGAATTTAACTGAATTACAAGGATACTGCCTTGGACAACAGGAAGCAAGAATGGATCAAGCTGTAAATGCAAGGGATAACAAATGAGTCAAAAAAACTAATGAGAGAATAAAATGAACCCAAAGCACATAGATACCTGACCTTGTTATCTATCATCACTTCCATCATATAGTTGTTCCAAAGAAATCGAGGGTCTGCCTGAGTAAAAGAAATTAAAAGCAATCTTTGAGATTACAGTTGCTTGTCAACCAACTAAAATAATTTAGAAGCAAGAAAGCTACTGCATTTAACTAGATGACTTTAAGCAATCAGAGCTACACCATCACATCTGTAGGACATTTAAAACACTTACTTGTCTCCATAGAGGAAGCAACTTGGATTCATCACCCAAATCATGCAGTCGCTGAGCACTGCAGTATGAACCATAAGTATCTTACTGTTAAGCACTGCACCGTGATATCTTAACAATCAGATGAAAGATATTCAGCAATACGAATGTGTCAAGTCAATTCCATGTGGGCTGCAGAAGATAACACTTACCAGTTTTTTTTTTATAAGGAGAAGATAACACTTCCAAATTGAAAATAATACTCCAACACACTATCTTTAAAAAGCTCTTAGGTAAGAAAAAGTCATTCAGTGAATCGGTGGATCACACACTTGGAGACAGGGACAGGGGCATAAATTGCAGAATTCACCTCTAAAAATGGTAAGCTAAAGAGGTCATATAATGAGAGATGATAAAAACGAAAGAAAAAAAAAAGAACAAGAGAAATTGCCTTAATTTGTCATTGAAGACAGTGACCTAAAATCTTTTCAGGGGTTCAATGATATGAGATAAAGGGAGTTCAAACAAGTAACTTGGTATACACTAACCAACAGCCCCCATATAGAACCAAAGACTAAAGTTCTAGGCTTCAAAATTTTGAAAAAATACACTTACGTAGAAAATGGATTGTGTGCCTAGCCGAACAATAAAAAAAACATATAAGCAGTTAGAAGGTTGAAAAGACATTTCACCTCAATGTTAAATTGACATCATAAGAGAAGTACAGACCAGGAGTCCTCTCTGCAACATTAAGCAGTGCAGAAAACTGAGCTTCCATGTTTTTCTGCCAAAAGCCAAAGCTATATCATAGGTACATAAATGGAAAATACTAAAAAGAAACAGGAATAGGAAAGTACATCGGAAATTGGAGACCTACCTGTTCTGCAGAAGAGTTCTTGAGAGAATGATCGCAAGGAAAATATTTCATTGATGAAACTTTAAAGATAGGGTGCCCGAAGTAAGATCCCACACATTCACGTTCTGTTATGACCAGTAAATATGAACCTGAATGCAAGAGCAGCACACACTAGATCAGAGCAAGTTTAGCAAGGCCGATAGCACGACCACTTACTATGATAAGGCATAGCGGGATAAAGAGAACTCATAATCATTCTTTTCTGGAATTTTGATATTTCTTTCAACTTCTTTCTATATATTCTGTATCTGAGTGTGATTATTTTATGGAACAAAATCTGCCAGAAAATGATCAACAAAAGAGGACAATCTTGACATGTATAAGTGACATTATTATTACTTGATATAGAGCACATGGACAACAGAATTTTGGTTTATTGAGAGCTGACTCTCTATTGGAATATAAAAGCAAAAACTTGAACTTTTTAGTGCTTCCTAAAACTACTTACCAGCCAGAAGCTTTAGCATGCCTATAACACCAAATATTGTCTGGATTTTAGGAACACGAACTAAAGTGCATTCCGGAACCTCATCTAACATAGAGAAAACATACCAGAAATAGAATATGTTAGCTTAATAAATAGTTTAAGTCCAGAAGAAATACATAAACAGGAACAGAAGCAAGTAAACCTATTAGTTTCATAGATCCATCCATGCGACTAATCTCCAAACACGAACCACAGGATCCATCAGTAGGCTCAACAACATACTGATCTGGGAATTCCCAAAGTCGCATCCTTGTATATAGTTTTTGTGAAGGATCTGCCTTCTCCATCATAATTCAAAATGCTACTGACACGGAAACACAAATTTGATTACCAAACCATTGCCTTTAAGTGGAATATGCAAAATATGAATATACTAACACAAGAATTCAAAAGGATGAGTGACAGCGCCACAAGTACTAGTAAACTCTGATACTTGCAACACGTGTTGACATTATGCAGGTTTAATCCTTCCCCCTCATATATTTCACACATTGAACTTGTTTTAGGAAACAAGATCGTTATTTTGCAGACAAGAATTATCTCAAGAAACGTATCTAACACATTCTTGACACGAAAAATCCCAAGAAGTTATTGCCTTTATGGGCTAACAATTTCAGGGACATTATCAAAAATTCATAGAATCTCGTACAACAGATGATTAAAGAGAATGAAAAATTGAGGCACCTTAGAAGAAAAATGCCTGGAAAACGAAAAGGAAAGTAATAAATCAATAGGTCAGGGGAGGCTTAGCCCAACCCAACCAGAAAGGATCAAGAACGATAACAATGGAAGAGGCAAAAAATAGAAATTTTTACGGGCAAATGGCATTAAGGGAGTGGGATATAACGACTGATTCGCGTACAATTAACGGAATACCGAACTATGCCTTAGATGCCGCCGCTCAGTTAGTGCATGTCACTTTCTTGTACTTGTCCGTTTTTCTTGTATAGGTAGGATTTAATATATATA